GAGGGGTGCCTTGATAGGGGGTTCAAACTCCCTGAGCCCCGCAGGGAGAAGGTCTGAGTTTTGAGTTCCTTCCTCAAGGTGGGTCCTCCCACCCCGGGTGGGGTTCCCGGCCAGACTGTGTCCCAGCCTCTCCTACCTGACAAGTAGGAGTCTCTCAGACGATGTTTCGGGTTTTGTTTTGTTTCCGTTTGGTTTTTGTTGTTGTTGTTGTTGTTGTTGTTGTTGTTTTTGTTTTGTTTTGTTTTGTTTTTCCAGAGGAAGTTGTTCCTCAGCTAGCTGTGGATTTTATGCTTTTGCGGAGGAGGGGAGTTCAGGATCCTCTTAGGTCTCCATCTTGAACTGGAACCAGGATCTTTTCTCCCTTTGGCAATTTTATATTAAAGAGACCTTATTAGCTGAAGGATGATCCCGCGCTTTTAAAAATTCATTGCTGATTTTTGAAAGGCTCCCCTCCCGAATTACAAAAAAGAGCTCAATATTCTTAACTGGTAATTACCAATGACTCCTATAAACTCTATGTTCAAAGAAATCACAGTTAATTAAAGGGTAAATACGATGCCAGCTAATGTTTGTACTTATGCAGGTATCTAAAAAATAAAAAGTTGGTTCTTTATAGTTATAGGAATATTCCTAAAAATATATATTACAATTTTCTTCTCTTAAGCAGAACCTTGTATAGAAGATCCAGCCCCTCCCCCACCCCACCCCATGTAGCCAGAGACATCCAGTGTATCAGAGAATATTAGGATCGTTGGGCCAGGAAAATAAAGACAAAGGCAGAGTAAAAGTATAGCCTAATTGGTTACCCTGAAATCCGTTTTGTATTTAGAAAAGGCAAAATAAATGCATGGCTGTTCTTTTTTTTTTTTTTTTTTAAGAGCTTCAAAACAATACATTCATTCCCTTTTAATCCTCAACAGTGACCAATCAACTGAGTTGCTTTAGAATTATTAGGAACTTACAGATATAATCATATTTGATGTGTCTGAAATAATTACAGTTATTATGAATGTTGGGTGTTCAAAATGACCCATCCTTGCCTGGTGGGAACCTATTTTAACTGATTCTTAGGTCCTTTTGACACAACCCTGGTAGTGGTTGGTAGCTACCTTGCTTTCTGTAAATATTTATCGATAAAATGTCTGGGATTTGCTTTAAAATGATGGCACAGGAATGGGGCGCCTGGGTAGCTCAGTGGGGTAAGCCTCTGCCTTCAGCCCAGGTCATGGTCTCATTGGGATGGAGTCTGGCATCGGGCTCTCTGCTGAGCAGGGAGCCTGCTTCCCCCTCTCTCTCTGCCTGCCTCTCTGCCTACTTGTGATCTCTCTCTCTGTCAAATAAGTAAATGAAATCTTTTAAAAAAACAAATAAATACAAATAAATAAAGAATAAAATGATGGCACAGGAAAAAGAGGTATAGATGAAACAAGATTGGCCATGGGTTGATAACTGCGCCCCTGGAGTTTCCTTACACTATTCTCTTACATTTAAATATGTCTGAAGTTCCCAAAATAAAAAGTAAAGATTAAAAATGTTCATCCTGTGACTTCCAAAATAGCACCTAAATCCTTAATAAGACAGTAGTCTTAAATGTCTGGTTTTGATGGGAGAAAAGGGGATTTGTCCCTTTCCAAGGCTTCTCTTGACTTAGAAAGAAAAAGTATTAGAAATCTGAGTATAGGGGCACCTGGGTGGCTCGGTGGGTTCATCCTCTGCCTTCAGCTCAGGTCATGATCCCAGGGTCCTGGGATCGAGCCCCGCATCGGGCTCTCTGCTCAACAGGGAGCCTGCTTCCCTCTCTCTCTGCCTGCCTCTCTGCCTACTTGTGATCTCTCTCTGTCAAATAAATAAATAAAATAAAAATTAAAAAAAAAAAAAAGAAATCTGAGTATAGAGTTTTCCTCAAAATCAGAGGTAGTGAGCTTTCTGGATATGAATGAGGACATTTCCCCAGCCCCAGGAAGACATGTAACCCCTCTCTAAGATAGAAAACAGGAGGGTGGAGGGTGAAGAGAGTGGAAAACAGGGAGCTGAAAGCCCCAAAGATTTTCCTGGTGGGTACCTCTTGACAGTTTTGGTCTTGGTCACAGGGCTGGCTAAAAATGGCTTCTGAAGGTAACCTGTGTGTCTCATCTTCTTCCACTTTTTAGGCCAGATTCTTATCTCTAGTCCCCCAAAAGACTGACTCAATTTCTTGTGGTCCAGGAAATCTTGCTTTCCAAACAGGGCAAGAAAGAGCACTGGGCTGGGAGTCCAGAAGCCAACATTTGAGCCCTATGACTCAAAATGACACCATGTCTTAGGGCTCAATTTCCTCACCCATTAAATGAAAGGTCAGCCTGCAAGACTCAAGATCTTTCCATGTCCCTACCTTCCAAACCTGAGATTTCAAGACCCCTGGGCCTGAACACACAGCCCTGCAGGCCTTTATGCCTTTTCACAGAACGCCTCTTCCACCATTACACAGCCTCCTAAAGAAATATATGACTGCTGTCACTTTTTGCAGATAATTGGGAGAGGAGGGGCCCAACATAGCTAAACCCCAAAGTTGGCCGCACTTTCAGGCTTTGGCAATCAGGCGCGTCACCGACCTGTACGATTTCTCCTCTCTGTCCTTGCTCGCCTGCAAATCCTGACCCCCGTCCCCACTGCGGAGAAATCGCCTAAGAGACGGCTGCCGGCGTAGCTTCTGCGCCCAGGAGGCGTGGAGCAGAGGGCGCGGGAGCTAAGCACGCTGCGGCCACGCTCCCCGCGCAGAGACGAGAGGGAGGGGCCGGCGGGGGCCGGGCAGCACCAGAGGCGGCGCGCGGGGCTGGCGGCGGCTCAGTCTCCTCCCGAGCCCAGCCCCGGCCGGCCAGAGCGGCGGCGGGCGATAGCCGGAGCCGGAGACCGGGCCTCGGAACAAGGAGGTGGAGAGCCAGAGAAAGCGGCGGACCCGAGTGGAGGGCCGCGCTCGGGCCCCGCCGCGTGCGCGTCCTCCTGGCGGATCCCGGTAAGTGCGGGCGGCCGAGTCCCCGCCAGCCTCCAGGCTTGGTGGCCGCAGCGGTCGTTGTCCCCGGATCCGGTGGCGCGCATCCCGCCGCTGCATCACAGCCTCACAGGTGGCTCCGCGGTGGACGTGGGTACCCCAGGCCCCGGCAAGGAGTTAGCTAACTCTCTCCGCTCAGGGACGCGGTTTCGAGCCCCCAGCTTCTTCTACCCCGACCGCCCTGGCTTCCGGCTCCGAGGTGGGGGGCGCGGAGGGGCAGGGCCTGCCGTCGGAGTAGACGCGTGGGAGGAAAGCTCCCCTTCCCCAAACCACCCATAAACGGTTCGGGAAGATGCGGGCCAAGCGCCTTCCCAAGCTGCGTCTATGCTTGCTAGTGGGGCGTCTGTCCTTTAGTTTTATTTTCCTATTAACCCACCAGGGAAAGTTTGGGACCACACAAAGCAAAGTTGGGGCGAGGCTGGGGGTGCACTTCTCCAGCAGGGGCAGCTCCCCTGGAGCGAAGCGGCGGGTTTGCAGGGGGAGCAGGCTTGCTGGAGCTGACCCTGCGCCCTGGGAGTTGAGTCTGTCCCTGCTTGTAGCCCTGGCCAGGCATTGTGACAATCCCCGGAGCGCTGAGTCGCTTAATCTTTGGTGCTAAGCGTCGACATCTGCAGCCAGCCAAGAATCTCTGATGGGTAGCAGCATCTTAGCCTGGTTTGACTTGTGTTCTTGCTCTGCTCTGCAAACCTGAGCTCCAGCTAATCTCGGTGTTTAACTGGCGTGTGTTTAATTAGCTTATTTTACACCTGAGATGATCTCGGCGAGCCTCTAAAATGAAATCGTTAATGTAAAAAACAACAACAACCGTGTTTTTAAAGAAAAATTTAAATAGGAGCCTTCAGAATATCCGCTGTCGTGTCTAGATATCTAGTTTTACCCATCTCTGTGGGATAGAGAATGAAAACTGCTTGAAATTCTAGCCTACTAGAAGAGTCGGTGTCGGGGCTCTTTTTGTCAGATGTTGTGGACAGAGGTGTTGCTGCAGCTTGCTTATTGTCTACGAAATACACATTGAGTCTCCAGAAATAACCTACTTGTTAGGAGTTGTTTGATTTACTATGCTGTCTAATTTACATATGACTAAATGTTGTTTTTAAAAACAAGCTTTAGCTGAAAACAATATCTGGATGTTTAGGGAAGACGGTACATGTCACCAGAACATTCTTTTGTAAACTTAAATTTTTAAAGGACTATTTTCCTGCATCAGACATAGGAGAAGCTTTTCATGAAAAATAAGACGCTGAGATCTTTATGTGTATAGAAAAAGAGGGCTGACTCCTCCGGCACTCAGTGCTTTCAAATGACAGATTAAATCAGAAAATTGTGCCTTTAACTGGAATTATATAATTGGGTTGAAAGAAAACACAATGAGTAATTATTGGTTGTCAAGTACTTAGGTAGTTCTAAAAGAAGTGGTATCTTTTATCACTGGGCGGTTATTTGTTACATGATTAAAGGTGGGATAAACTGATAGATTTTCATCTACAAGGTTTTCTTTTTTTATATTTAACACACACTTCTACATAGTCTAATGGACATGGGGCTTACCAATATGTTTGAGCATATAAATACATGATTGCTATAAGTGCTTACTAGGTGCCACATCCTATTCTAAATGTTTCCTCTTCAAAGCAGTCCTTGGTGGCAGATGCTGTAATTGTTCTTATTTCTGGGATGGGGAAATGGAGGCACAGTGAAGTGAACTAACTTACCCAAGGTCAAATCCAGGATGGGACTTTATCATACCCGGAAGTTCTTTTTGTAGAAAAGACTTAGATTTTGTCATTTACTTATCCTTGTTTTAATTTTTCTTTAAGCATAAATGTCGAAAATATTTCCTGTGAAGCATAAGAACCCCTGATTGTGGAAGGGTCCCACAAGCACTGTTGACTGTAAAGTGAAGAGAACTATGAGAGAGCCATCTGGTTGAGTCTACCATCGGAAGACCACCACATCCACCAGAAGACCCAGGATGGATCTGCACCAAAGCACTGCCATCCCTTTCCTAGAGAAATGGTGTTTGGAGAAGTCACTCTCTGGCTACAGGAGACATTATAATGTCAGGAAAAAACTGAAGTTAATTCGAATCTTGGGCCTTCTCATGGGCCTAGTCGCCATTAGCACTGTCTCGTTTTCAATCAGTGCCTTTTCTGAGATGGAGACCCAGAGCACAGAAGAGGCCGTGGGGGCAAGTGGCTCTAGCGCCATACACGGTTACCGTCAGAGAACTCTCTTAGATTTAAATGACGAGATCCTGGATTATACTCCACAGCCCCCTCTTTCTCAGGAAGACACATCTGAGAATGCTACAGATCATGCCCAAGGAGACTACCCAAGAGACATCTTTTCCCTCGAGGAGCGAAGAAGAGGCGCCATCATTCTGCATGTCATTGGAATGATCTACATGTTCATAGCCTTAGCCATTGTCTGTGATGAGTTCTTTGTTCCCTCTTTGACTGTCATCACTGAGAAATTGGGCATATCTGATGATGTGGCCGGAGCCACTTTTATGGCTGCGGGGGGCTCTGCCCCTGAACTTTTCACATCTCTCATAGGGGTATTTATTGCTCACAGCAATGTTGGCATAGGCACAATCGTGGGCTCAGCGGTGTTCAATATCCTCTTTGTCATTGGCATGTGTGCTCTGTTTTCTAGAGAAATCTTAAACCTGACATGGTGGCCGCTCTTTCGGGATGTGTCCTTCTACATCGTTGACTTGATCATGCTGATCATATTTTTCCTGGATAATGTTATCATGTGGTGGGAAAGCTTGCTTCTCTTGACAGCTTACTTTGGTTATGTGGTTTTCATGAAATTCAACGTCCAAGTAGAAAGATGGGTGAAGCAAATGATAAACCGCAATAAAGTCGTCAAGGTGACAGCTCCAGAGGCCCAAGCGAAGGTTGGTGGTGGTAATTGTTTATTTAATGTTCTGAATGATTATTTATTTGAGATCTACCACTTTCTTAATGGGATGGGGTTTGGGGCTAACGTGGGTAGCAGATTGCTTTCTGCAGTTCTGTGATAGCCAGACTGACGGGGCAGTTGTAAACATAATTTGGGGATATTCTGGTGGATGTCTCCTGAATTCCCAAGCTCCTGGCTTCCGAGTTAAGCATTGATGAATACTGGTTATGTAAGTATCCCAGAGTGGACTCAACAGTTATTTGCATCTGGAAGTAGGCATAATGATTTCATGAGCAATTTAATTTTCACAGGAGTGTGTGTGTGTGTGTGTGTGTGTGTGTGTGTGTGTGTGTGTAACTCAGCAAGTTGCAGGTATTTTTTTTTTTTAAGTAGGTATGTGACAATGATCAAGAACCTTCTTTTTAAAGACGTTTAAGGAAGAAAGTTTGCTTGTGTCATCAGAGCTGTACCTTTAAGTGAGCATCAGGGCCCAAAAGGACTGGTCATTGGAAATGGTCACAGCCATTTTTCTTAATCCACAAAATGATCTTCAGACCACTTGACCAGGAGCTGATGGAGATCCATGAGAAAGTGTCATTGCCAAGCCCTGCTGTCTGCCTCCATGGCTTGATGGCCCACTTTGCATGCCGTGATAAATATGACCCAAAATAATTTTACAGTAGAATTTGAGGGAGTTTCATGATAAGAGTGGCCATCCTTCCACTTAGATGGTGAGCGCATTGGTATAGGGCTGAGAATGAATTGCTCTGCAAAAAGGTAAACCAATTTTTTAAAATAATGGATAAACAACACCAAAAAATCTTGGGTTAAGTATATAATGAAGTTCTGATTTATATCCTAACATTGGAATGTTGTCTCTGAATGTGATTTTAAACAGAAAACCAAAATACATATGCGGATTTTTCATATGAGCATCTGGGGGAAATCTCATGTATGCAAAAAACAGATGTTGAGTGGAGGGTGAGATATTTTATCAAAAAAAAAAAGATATTAACTTAGCATAATTCCTTTATGTACAGATTGAATGACCACCCATCATTTTTGTAGCAACCATGGCATAGAAGCAAAAAACAAAAACAAACAAAAAAAACCCCCCAAAAACCAAAATGCCAATAATACTATTTATTATGTGTAAAAGAAAAATGTTTTCTACTATATTTTTTCTGACATTTCACTCAGCATATGGTTGTTTGTTAGAAACTGTAGTAAAAAAAAAAAAACACAAAAAGTTATTTAGCAGTAGACATGGCAAGTAAGCTTTCAGATGTTAGAACCGAATATATATCCTTGCGGGCATCATTGGACCCCTCTTCCTGCTCTAATTTTGTAGCCAAAAGGATGATCCCTCAAGCCTGATTGCTAGTTTGAGCAGTTCACATTAATAATCTATGTGTTTATTTCAATTAGAGTACTTAATAATTGCCAAGGGAAGGGCATATTTGTTTAGAGCAAAGGAAACAATTTGTCATCTTATAAATACACATCAAGGGTAAAAAGTCTTTTCGAGGGCTCAGTATATTTTTGTTTTGTTTCACAACAGTGGAACTTCACTAACTTAATCACAGATTCTGCTGCAGGTTATGCTGACATTTGTGATAAAGGAATTTACAGAGCAATCCAAAGGTATATTTAGAATGCAGGGGGATTTTATATTATGATTTGAGGAGGAGCTGGTTCTGCACGTTTGGGAATAACTTTTTAAATACAGTTTACAGGGAATATTTAATCAATTATAAACCATTCCTTAAAGGAGCTCTGGCAGGATCTTTACCTATACAGTAGGTGACTCTCATGTCATTTTTGTAGTTGAAAGTTAGCGGCTTAGGCTGACAATCCTTAGCAGTTGTTATGCAAATCCATAATTCAGTGCTATGCTTAATATTGTACAGTTTTTAAATTTGGAAATTCTGGGTTTACCTAGTTTAAAAAGGGAGTAGATTGGATTCATGTCTATTTCTCCTGTTTTTTATTTTCCCCCCAAACTATGTTGACTGTAGTATTTACCTTATTAGCACTAAGTAGCTTTAATTTATTCCTTTTAATCATTATTATTTCTTTTGGCATTCAATAACTACATTGAACTATAAATTATCATGAGAATAGAATTTTTTTACACACAGCTATGTCTTGTTTGGTGTTCCTCAAAAATGCTAGAATACATTTCTTAGGGGGAACAGTGCATAATGATAGGGGATTTCCTTTAGGAAATTTCACCTTGCCAATTTCATTTTGAAGTGTCATTGGAAAAAAAATTTTTTTGTTTCAGCTGTTAGTCTTTATCATATGCTTGATTTCAGAATCTCATGGAGGTTTTGCTGCCCAAACACTGAACGTAAGCTGTCCCAAAGAGGGATGAGTCTTTGAGTGTGGCCATCTAGTTCTCTAATCTGTAGAGTTGATTTCTGAAGACATACCCCACCATCCTACAGAAGCCAGTGCTTCTGATATCATCAAACCATGCAGCTAAGAGACCCTAATGCAGCCCTCAGTGAAGTCTTCATGGAGAGGAATGAACTGTAGAAGAATTTAGGAAGCAAAATAGCATGTTTTTTTGTGGTTGTCTGTGTACAACTATGGAGCATGGGAGTTTGGGAAACTAGGGGAAACATATTTTAGATGTTCTTACACATATCATCCGTGGTTCTTGCTAAAAAATCATCAGCTCTGCTGCGCTCTTGGCAGTGAACTGTTTTGGAAACTATTTGCTTCAGAGGCAAGTTGAAAATTCTAATTTGGTTCCATTATTGAGGATATATGTCATGGGGCAACTAGGAAACATGGAAAAATGTGAGCTGGCATATTTCTTCATAGTTACAGTAATAGTTTCTCATCTCATTTAATTTTTACACCCTATGTGTGGTTTTTATTTGTTATTACTATTATTTCTTTTAGTGATAAGAATATCCTTTTTGAAAAGTTGTATGGTGTCATGACAGGGTAAATAGATCTGGGACACTGACTCACGGTAAAAAAGGGTTTTGACCTCAGTCTCTAATCAGCCGGGTGATCTCAGAAGTTATATAAACTCTTTGAGCCTCGGTTCCCTAATTTGGACATGAAAGTAATAATGCCAAAAAAAAAAAAAAAAGAAAGAAAGAAAGAAAGAAAGAAAAGAATAGTGCCTACTTCATGGAGCTAGGAAAATTATTAAATGAAGAAATGAATGCTAAGCACCTAACATAGTCCTTGGCAAACATGGTTGTTCAATAAATGTTAGCTCTTTTCCTTTTATAATCTGTTCTTAAATGAAAAGTGAGTCAAAATAAATTATTTTTTAAGATTTATTTATTTAGTTGAGAGAGAGAGAATGTGAATGTGAGTGGGGGGAGGGACAGAGGGGAGGGAAAGAGAATCTCAAGCAGACTCCCCGCTGAGCATGGAGCCTGCTGTGGGGCTCCATCCCACAACACTGAGACCATGACCTAAGCTGAAAACAAGAGTCTGATGCTCAACCGACTGAGCCTCCCAGGCACCATTAAAATACATTATTTTAAATTCAAGAATTTCACATTTTTTAAAAAACTGGAATTCATGCCAGTGAATCACTGAGTTAAGCAGGTCATTGTCTCCCTTTGGGGCAGAGACTGTTTGTCACAGTATGATATTTATAAGCCCTTGTTCACATAGAGTGAATACATGCAGGCCAGGTATTATCATAAACTCTAAGGAAACCTCCAAATGCATTTATTGTCCTGAAATTTTATTGTGTAGACTTTTGCTTGAAATAAGTAAGCCGTGAACTGGGGTTGAGAAATACCGATGCTGAGCAGAGATTTTTAAGTGTATTCTTATTTATATTCTAAAAAAACCTCTCCAAATTGGTCAGGAATAACTGAATCCTGCAGGATGTGAAGCCACAGAATCTCAGGACATTCAGAGCATTTTACGGTGCTTCTGGTCCCTTGATCTGTTACTGTGCTAGGCCGTCATTGGCCTAGAAAGCAGCTGTCCATGGTATTTAACTTCTTCTGAGATTTGGCATTATAATCTGACAGCAAGTCAGCCCAGTTCTGATGAAGAGGACGGTCTAAATAAAGGCGCTTAAAGCTGGATCGTGGAAGGGTAGGCTAGTTAGTAGTTTAGGTGTCCTTTGCTTTATTCAGTTTGTATATTCCTGAAAAGTTGTTTGTAAATAGAGTTTTTGTGGTTCAGATTGTTATTAATGTTCATGAGAAAAACAAAACCAGAACAATACTATAAATATTCCTCACAAAGTGAAGTCATTCTTATAAGGTGCTACACCACAAATAATCTTATCAATCCAAGTGTGTAGGTCCAAGGTTGCTTATGGCACGGAAGATTCTAGATATTCAACCTTTGTTTCCTTTCTTAGTAAATGAATTAGTAAAATTCCTGTACAAACTTCAAGGAAGGTAAGGTAAGATCATCTTTATAATAAACAAATGGATAGTATTACTTAGCAGATTTGGAAACTCTCTGTCCTTGTCACAAGAAAGAAAATTTAGGCATTAAAATTCTTACCTGAGGGTGTCTGGGTCGCTCAGTTACTTAAGCAACTGCCTTGGGCTCAGGTCATGATCCCGGAGTCCTGGGATGGAGTCCCACATCAGGCTTCCAGCTCTGTGGGGAGTCTGCTTCTCCCTCTGACCTTCTCCTCTCTCATGCTCTCTCCCACTGTCTCTCTCTCAAATAAATAAATAAAATCTTTAAAAAAAATCTTAACTGACTAGATGTCTGTGAATGTAGTATATTTATCTAGGAATACAGCATGGCACTCTTTTCCTTGCTTTCTTTCCTTCTACTTACATTAAAAGCAAACGCTTTGGTTACTGCATGTGATTCGGAGAGTGAACAGGCATTTCAACAGACCCAGAAAGCCCAGCAGATTTTAATACACAGAAGTCAGATTACATTTGGCTTTTCATCCTTGCTTCTCTGATTTCTCCAGTAAGAGAAGACCTAAACTTTGTGAATCCTGGCAATCTTGAGAGCAAGGATTTACCACCATTTCCC